GGCTCTGAACAGTTAGTTCCACAACAGATTTCAAACAGTAATTGCAGCCTTAACAGCTGGTTTTGTTTCAGATTTAAAATGTTACGTGATTTTAGACTAGATGCCTATTCAGGTAGAAACTTCACTGATAGATTGTGGTTTAGGCATTTTTACAGCCATAGATAAGTAGTGCATCTCAGGGTCTGATACTACTGGAAGTTCTCAAACAGTCCCTTCAGATGTATTTTCCCTATTAGTAGTTGTTCAAGGGTGAAGAGGGCAGCAAAGGAATGCTTTGGTGTCAATGTAGAAAACATATATGTGCCTAAAAGTGCACGTGTGGTAAATATTGAGTCCTCGGTGCTCTCCTATGTAGAAGGAAATATAAAATGAGGTATTAACTAGGAAGAGAGAAGCTTGTAACTTCTGTCTGCTGCTGCATAAGCACCCATGAGTTTGTGCACCGAACTGAAGCTTTCCGAGTCCCTGTCAAGAGATCCCAGGCTTGCCTAGATTTTATTTACTCGATATGCAGTCCAACACAGCCCGAAGTTACAAGCTGTTTTACATGTGATTCCAAAATATTGGGTACTGAGGAGGTCAGGAAGCAGAAGAGACAGGCAGCGCTGACAACAGCAAGTTAATCGTTATTTATACCCGAAATAGCCACACGAAACTATGCAATAACTCAGTAATGAAGCCACAAGGTGTCAGCACTGGCCTGTGTATTTAGAAAATAACTATCCCTGCTCCAGAGACTCGTTTGCTGGAACCTGCGTTACTGAACATTTGTGAAGGTTCAGTTGAAGTTAATCTCACTTCATTAATTCACCTCAGTTTAATGACAAAGTAATATGCTCTTCAGATGAATGAAAAATACTCAAACTACTATAGTTTCAATAGTAGCAGGACTAAATAAAAAATATTTAATCTTTAAAGTTCATCATTAACATATGAACTTTGTATCTTTAGGTCATTGACACATATCTTTAATTTTTTCCTTAGCCTAAAATACAATCTTTTATGCAGATCACTACTAAAATGAGTCCAAATTAAATGTAATTTACAAAATAGTGGTAAAAAGAAAATGAAAACCATCTCTTGGGAACACCGACTCTGGTTATACCCAGTGAGTATATCAGTCATGTCTGACTTTATTGCAGAAATGACTTTGCTCAATACCTCAGTATATGGTATTATCAGCAGGGCTATACTTGAATGATTCATGTAGGAAAATACAAATCTTGTGCAGTTAACAAGGGGAATGGAATGCATGGCCGTAAGGCAGAGCAGTCAATAGCACCAACACAAAGATGTTCACTCCGTGGACCAGCATGCAAAACACAGCACCAGTAAGACCTTGGGATGAACAAAACCCAGAGCACTCTCTTGCAGGGTTAACCCACATGGTAGCCACGTGCATGGAACAAGAGTTGGATACAGAGAGATCTGAATAACAGAAGAATATTTTGGCCTCATCAGGTTTGTGACAAAACGCCTTATCAGACCATCAAATGTTATGTAGCACAAATAGAATATAATTTAAGACCCTCTACTGAGTATATTTAAGGCCTCTGTTGATCATGACCACTTGGATAGTGCACAAGTAGCTGACACACATGAGATCTGTCCTTGCTTGCAGCCTGCAACTATAGGGCAGCAACACTACAAACACAACAGAGCACACAGTGTAAAGGCAATAATTTCTTGGTGCCTTGAGCCAAATCTTCTCAGACCACCAGCGAGAAGCTAAAATACCTGCTCAAACATGAAAGATCTCAGAAATTGAAGCATCCCTATTTGAGAGACTTCTACAGCTGCTTTTGCTTGCTGAATATTACGGGAGTTCCTCCTGTCTGTTCCCAATCTCTAATATAACTGCATCTTCTTATTTTTTGCAAAAGCCTGCTCTGACTGCTTCAGGAGCTGCTCTGTCTGGTCAAGCAATGGGGCAGTAATGACAGTAGATAAAGAACACCCAAATTTGTAACATTAGCAACTTGATTATAGTTGCATAGAGGTCACCACAGGAACCTCTACCTTCTACTAACCTATAGTAAGTGATAATTGGGTTGATATTTTGTTAAAATACAGATTATTACATTTATTTACATCTTCACTGTGATTCTGATAGTGAAAAAGAAAAATTTAGTCCCCCACATCTGTTAATTTGCTACTGTGATTAGCTTCACTGACTTAAATGGAATTATTCAGGGTAATAAATTCAAGCCCATGGCACAGGAAGGACTTCTTTAGTTTCAGAGAGACCTTTTTTTTACCCCTTTTATAAATGTCATACCACACATTTTCATAGACTAAAAAGGCATTTATTATAACAGGTTTATAAATAGTGTTGTCTGTCACTGTCAAATAGCTAACAAGGCTCACTTGAACACCAACATTTAGTATAAAACAGATGTTACAAAGCAATATTTTATGGCATGCACTGATTGTAAAGTAGTCCTGTAGGTCACCATAATTTCAGTATGTATTATTCATTCAGTGTTATTTTTCTGAAAAGACTAGTGCAAAAGACTAAATACAAAGAAGTTTGGTGATTATTTCTGGACTACAAAACCCCAGTTCTGCACGCCTACCCAACCACATGCTCATTGACTTCATATGGATGCTGGGTATTGGCATACAGAACACAGCCTATAGCATAAAGAATGCAGAATACCATTTAGCACTATAGTTACAAGTCACTTATTTGTATGTTTTATCTGTGTATTAGTCTTAAGAACGCTGAACAAAGTTAGAAGGTAGAGATGACATTTCAGGTTCAGCCATTACACTTCATGTAGTACAAAACAAAATGTTGTTAACATAGTTATGACAGCGTGCTTACTTGCAAAGAGGTTAAAGCAAACCAGACCTCAGGTTATATTAATCAGAAATACCAAGGCATACCAGGCATCTGCTTTAACCTAAACAGAACACATGATACTTCAAATATGCTAACAAAATATATCTGCCTAAATAAAAGCTGGGGACATCACACATAAATAACAGGGTCCCACCACTTCATTTTTCTAATTAGTTAATAGGTTTGGAATGTCGTCTTTGACTATCTGTGTCAATACTTGAATGATACTTCCAGCTTTAGAGAAAATCTGTTGTGGTAATTTTTTCTATTTCAGTTTTTAGCACTGGTTTCCTATCACCAACTGTGAAAAACTAAAAAGGCAATCATTGCTTTATATGTGAGCAGTCCAATATTTCAGAAGCAAATAGCATATTTTGTACTTAAATAATAAAATTTTTTCCTCCTAGACTTAAATACAGCATCTGTGCTTCCTTTCCTATTATCCTAATACTCTATATGACAACATTTTCTTGATTTATTAAACTTAGCCTTGGTTCATCTTGTTTGGAAAAAAATGCAAATTATACTGTAAAAAACATTAGTGTGAGGCTAATTTGTACCAAAGGTGACAAAAGGTTAGTATATAAAAACCGCAACTGTGATACCCTAGCAGGTAACACCTCAGGTTTCTATATATTATTTTGAATCACTTTGCACCATTTTGCACCCCCCCCACCCCCCCACGAGTTAGGGAACATGTACGATTCTTTGTTTTGTCGTCTTTTTTTTCCAAAGAAAAGTCTACCCTTTTGTTTTTAAACTCTCTTCTATAATTCTCAGACTTACACACACACAAAAATACCTTCAGCAAATTTACATTTCCTAATTATTAATTCTGGGAAGAATATTTTTCATTAATCTAAACTTTGCAGATCACTGTGGTGAAAAATCAGCAAGAATATTTTTTTTTTTATTCCTTGGCACACAACCTAAGTGAGTTGTTCCTCTATTTAGTCTTCTACTATTACCATCTTAAGAAATTGAACTGAAAGATGTTAAGCTTAAGAGATGTGAAACTAAATTAGGCAATATCTTGCAATTGCTAGTTGCCATAAAACATTCACTGCCCTGAGTGGGCATTTGAAGCCATGAAAGATTTGCAGTTGTTTGGCACTTTTGAGAAATGCAATTACTTCTTTAAAAATGTAAACATGAATTTGAGTAAGTATCATTTCGAAACAGCTCATAAAAGTACTGCTACCAGGTAATTCTGTAACACTCTAGTCTATAAAGAACATAACACCTTTACAGAAAGATTCTTAAGAGACCCATATAAAAGTTCACCTTATAAGAACCTTCCTAAATAGCCTCTTATTGCAGATCAAAATGAACCTATATGGAGCAGCAACAGCTGTTCTAAAACACGGGCTGTGAAGTCCTGCATATATACCAACCTCATATCAGTTTGAAAGAACATTCCTATTTAGAGAAGAAACACGAGCAGGGCAAAAGCAACAGTTGTGAAAGACTGTGAAGCTGCATCAGATCAGAACATTAGAAGGTTCTTCACCAAGGGGGTGGTCGATCACTAGAACAGGTTCCCCAGGGAAGAGGTCACAGCATCAACCCTGTCAGAGTTCAAAGAGCATCTGGATGATGACATTTTAGTTTTAAGTAGTCCTGTGAGGAGCAGGGAGTTGGCCTCAAGGATCTTTATGGGTCCCTTTCAATTTGAGATATTCTATGAGTCTATGAGTGCAATTCAAACTACTTAGCAATCCAATAAAAAAAAATCTGCCCCTTTCCTTACAGCAGATTCGTTGCTATTGCCAAGTCAAATCACAGATTCTCAAAGCAAGTAATGTCTTTTAAGTCTGCTTTTTCACACCTATCAACTCCACAAGCTGCATACATCCTCCTTGACATTTCAGAATTAGTTTTTGCCTCACTATCTGAGCCCAAATTAGAAAAGTTAAATAACTAAGTTCAAGCATACATAATTTACCAAGCCCACTATAAAAATAAAATGAAAGTTACCTAAGTGATTATTTCATACTAATAAAGCAGGCTTAGAAAAGGAAGGTTTACCTAGATCTTACCCTGAATCTGCAAAAATCAGGTACCTTGACATACAAATTGCACAGACATAACTAGATATGAAAAAAAATAGTGTGGTGGAAAGTTGACATATGTTCAATAAATATAAATTAATTTCTTTTGATTAATTTTGGGAAATTGAGATTTTCTTTAAAACCTCCCAGTTAACTATCCATTATGTATGCTGGTCAGGCTGTGGGAGAGCTGCATTAGGCCCTAACACACTGCTACAGAAATACAGATAGTGAAATGTTAATTAGGGAAATAGACAAGGTACAATGAAAACTATTGAGAACGGATGCAGAGTCTCCATTTTTTGATACTCCAGCTGCTGCAGCAATAGTTTGTAAAACGGCCAGTGAGCAGGTAAATGCACAGCACCCAACTGTCACTACTGTCTCCAGGGTCCTGACAGGTTTTCATACCTCTAAAGGCAAGATCAAGCCTCTAGCTCTTACCTTGGAGTATCAGGGGAGTACACATCTTGAGGCACAGTCTCACCTTGTCCCCACATCAGCCCTTATGCAGCTAGGACATGCATTAAAGTTGACTTAAAGTCAGACTGTTCCGTCTATTCACATCAATTAATATTTGCTTGTGATAAAAGTACCAGATGTGCTCAACCACATGTAAACACATACAAAAATAGGAAGAGTGCCAAAACCATTAGTCCTTCCTTGTCATCCAGCCTTACTACCAGTCTCTCCATTCTTCTATCCCAAACTATCTGAGGTCACCAATGCCTCAGTGTGTAGCATTCAAGCAGACACTTTGCCTGTTCATTACACACTGTGGAGTCAGAGTTCAAACAGAGGATGCCAATTCATGCAGATTATGCACATACACAGCTCCATGAAGCACCAAAACCAACTATAATATTTAAACATGTTTCTACTTCTATCATAAATCTAAGGATCTATACAAAGTTATACTTCATATAAAATACTAGCACAATGGGTATCTCTGAAAATAAGTGATATTAGACCTTTTGTAATTCTGTGAAGTACATGTTTCCTTCTCCTAAAGCTATTACCAAATATTTTTCTTTAGGGAAACTATTTGGAGATGTTAAAAAAAAAAAAAAAAAAAAGAAGGGAGGGGGGAGGAGGGCAGGAAAAATACACCTGCTACACATCAGTGTGTCATACCAAGGAAACCAATGAGTCAAAATGTAATTTAAATGCTGATAAAAGTTATCAAGTTTGTATATAAGGTTTAATTCTGCCTCTAGAGTATGGCATGGCACAAACTTCCAGTGAACCCATAAAGACCAGACAGATGGTCTATTCTCTAAAAAGAGAAAAATTTGTTTCTTTATAAGTGTCTGATGCACTGGATGGATGAGAAAGTAAAGAGAAGACAGACAAAAAATAAGAAGACCTGCACCTTCTCTTAAAGTTACATCAGTCATTTAGTTACAGATGACTGGAGTATCATCAATGACACAGATTTCTATTTGTGACCTGGATAATCATGAAGACAGCTGTGTGTCAGTCCTCCTTACCCACTAACTCTTCTTCACAGCTAGACTAAGACTTCTCAGGATCATCTATCTAACTAAATAGCATAAGGCATCCATGGAAACGGGGACAGGACATAGGCTAGTGACAAGGAGTGTGGTACTTTTCAGAGAAAGACTAGACATTAACACTCACAGTAAGAACACCATCCACAGTTTGGCAAAAGAAGATCTGCATATTTAAGGGATTTGTTGTAGGATGGGTTGTGCTGTTTGTTATTTCCATTTCACAGTAGCCATTGAGCACATGGAGGCAGTTGCAGGGCTCTACTTCTTGGTTCAGACCCAGGATATGGTGTCCCAAGTGAGCTTCAAAACTGCTGCCTGGGATTGCTGATGTACACCACGCTCCAGTCATTCTCTAATCCCTGTGTTAAAAGACTGGAAACGTCAGTGACAAACACAGCTTTCACAATTTTTAACCCAATCAGGGGGGGTGTGGGGGGGTGGTGTTTCCTCATATTAGGGAAACCACAAGTGGTTTTATTTCTTGCTATCCAAGTATTACAAAACCAATCAAGAAAGACAAGAAGGCGACAGAGGGATTTCAAACTTTTCTCTTCAATATGTTCTCTTTCAAAACCCAAGTATTTCCCTTATAATGACAGAATTTTGAAGAAAGCATCACCTCGTAGCCAAAAACATAGTCAAATCAGCTAGGCTTTTTTTTTTTTTCCTTGGGGGGGAATCAATTACCATCTAAGAGTATCTCACCTAAACATAAATATATATATATAGCAAAGGAAAAAAAATTACTTTTCAAAAGTCTATCCTCACCACTTATTTTTCTCTCTTTTCTAATTATTATTAATGTCATGTCTAGCTTACTATTTGTAGCAGGGTACCAGTCAGACACTACAGTCACAAAACAAGGTCCCTATGCAATAGGCACTGTCACAAATACAAGCAGCTGATTTCTCTTCCAACTAACTTACAAACTTTAAGTATAAAACATTCTAAATAAGATGGACAGAGTGAGCAGAGGGTGATAATATGGTTAATGTAACAACCAATGGTCACAACGGAATTCTGTCCTACATGGAAATAATGTATCCAAGGACATTAATTAATGCCTTATGGGCTTTGCCAGTCCTATCTTTCTAATTAATAATCAAAGTTAAAATTATAAATACTCTATACTCCATAACACCATACTCTAAACATGCACTTTTGAAATTCTATGCCTCTATATGTCACTCTTCAGCAAGTAATTCTCAAAATAAAAGCATTTTGAAACTGTGTTCGTTAACAGCTGCTTGCTAGTAGGCACCATAAAGAAACCAAAATGATTTAGAGAAGTAAATGTCTGCCTCTTTTTCCAAAGGAGGCCTTTTCCTCTAGCTTGTGTTGGTACCTGTTAATTAGAAAAATCAAAAAATCTATTTGGATGCCATAATCACTTAACTACTTTGAAGAAAATTATTTTGTAGTAACTTTGTATAACAGGGGTCAATCCTGCTTTTCAGTGTTAAAAAAACCCAACCAAACAAAAAACCAAAATACCTTCCATGACAAGTTACTATGCCCACTCAAATGTTAAGACTTACCAAGTGTCATACAAAATTAAATACCACTGAGTTAAAGTGCTTTCATTTCTTTTATGGCCTTTTTCTTATATTTCTTCCCGACTAGTACTTTCTAAAGACTTTTACCTTCTTTGTTTGTTGACTTAAATCTCAGTTTCCTGCTTTTTCCACTCTGAAGAACAACTCTCAGACAAGCTCAGTGCTAAACTCTGTCATCAGTTAAAATGCTGAAGAAAACAGATTGCTTTGTTGCTTGTTGTGGCCTTTTATTTCCTCCCATTTGATTAGAAATATTTAATTAGTGCTAATTAAATACTTTGAAGCTTGGTTGAAAGTTTTTATAGAAGTGCACATTTCTGCTAATACTTCAACAAGAGAAAAGTATGATGACAAAAACACCAGACAACACACTGATAAATACATTGAAAAAAAAAAAGGGTTTTTTTTACCCTAATTGAGAACATAGGTACAGCTGAAGATTGAAGTAGTTTATACTTTGTGGCAGACGTATCCTTAAATAGCTCTGCCTCTACTCTGAATTTGCTGTCGCTTTAGAGTCTGAACTTTAAACACGTATGACTCCAGGTAAGTGGAAAGCAGTTTTATGGGTGTTGTACATTTACCTTGGGATCGTCCTCTTTAACATACCTCTGGAGCTCAGGTCCAGACAGGCTATCCTAAATCCAGCACTGTATTAAAGAAGGAAAGAGGAGCCAAAATGGGTTTCTATCCTATTTCAGTACTTTTAAATTATCAGATTAGCCTTTTAGTGGGTAAGCAGGTAAATGCCTGAAAGTAAAAATGTAAATATAAGGCCATAAACTAAAGCAACCCTGAGGCTACTTTAAATAGCTGAGAAGGAACTGCACTATCTCTGCTGCCTACAAATTAGCACAAACAAGAAGAATTTGTCCTAATGATTTCCTCACTTCACCTGGTTGCTGAATATAAAACTCAACATCCAGGCTTCAGCTATCTGCTTCAGCCAATCTTAAGGCTAAATTTTACAGCTATTGTAGACCAAAACAGACCTTCCATATTAGATTGTCTCTACTATATCCTTCATCAGATGCTCAGTAGGTTATCCAACTTGAGAGAAATAATTTATGCCAAATAAAGTTACTATATGCACTTTTAAAGATCACTTCATTCTGAATTTCTCTTCCCTCTCCTGAACTCTACTCCAGTATTTTAAGTGAACAAATACTTAAAGACATCAATGAAAATATATATTACTAAGAAGTCTTTCTTTTGAAACAGGGATAAAGTGTTTGTGATGGAGAGAAATTAATTTTCAATCCAATTCATATACTTTAAGCATAGGCTTGAAGAATGCTGAGCCCAAAAAAATTAAGTCTACAAACTTCAGTCTGAGAATAATGATGCAAAGCTAGATAATCTTTTTGAACTCTATGCAGCAATGAGAATAGAAAGGAGGTCCATCACATACTTTACCAGATCCTGTTACAGAGTCCTCAAGCATACCACATTAGATAGAACTTTGGCACAATTTAAATTTTAATTCTATTTAAATAGAATTTCAATGCAAGTTGGGAAGTGAATGAGCAACCTTATCTATGCACATTTGACTGCTATATGTAAACATGTGTCATACACTTCCAGTCATGTGAAGAACAGAAAGTCTCCACAAGAACTCAAAGTTTTTCACAATATTCTGTGGCTTGTAAATACATTTTGACACTTTCAATTTCTGTAACATTTAGCATTCATCTTTGAAATATTTATTAGTGATAAAAAAATCTAATGTATTTCCTCTTCAGCTTATCTTTTTTCACAGTAACTACATTTTAGCAATTTTACATTTAGAAGATACTGCTCTTCTTATTAATCCCTATCTTTCCTTACAAATAATATTAATTATATTTCTGTTTCTTTTTAAGTTATCATCAGCTGCCCATATTAATCTTTAACATGAACAGGATATACAGGCATACAACACAGAAGAACACGATTACTTCATACTACTACACAACTGCTTAAAAACATATTTACATGTCAGCAAAATTATTGTTTTTTCATAAAAAGAGAAAAATTGATTTAATCTATTGGGAGGACATCCTATGGCTTATTGGGAACTTCTATATTCTGTATGTTTTACACCTGTTTTTCCTATGCATGTAGAGTTTACATTACTGTATTCTCCCTTCCCCTGGTTTAAATAACTTTGTATCTCACTTATAAAAGAAGTAGCCATTTCTTTCAAGAAAGCTCTTGAGACACTATTATTGTAGACATTCATCACCTCTTTTCCATTAAAAAAAAAATCATGTTAATGCTTGATTATGCAAGTTTAGTTTTGGAAAGTACCGGAGCAAGTAAACCTTGGTAAATATGAAAAAAAAAAAAAGAGAGAACTGTCCATTACTGAAGGGCAGGTTTTATACTGCCGTGTCGGTATCCAGATCTTAAGTTCAGAAACTGCACTTGGAGTTGTGCTGTCTGCTCCAGAAGTACCAAACAGCATTATAACATTTTCCCAAATTTGCCTTTTGGGAGCAATTTGGAAGTCAATTCTGTTATCTGACCAGAAGTCCATCACTAAATTTGCCTAAACACGCATACAGACACTCCTCCCACACATACACACCCACACGCACACACATTGATTTTACAAAAGTTTCCTTTTCTTTAAGCAAGTAGTCACAACACTGAAAATATTCTCCTATGTGTTCACTGATTATTCTTAAATGATTTGTCACCACTCTGCCACTCAAAGGAGATGGTTATTGCATGCTCCTGAGAAGCTAACTATGTTCAAAAGCAGCTAGATGAGGATGGTGGTGAGATATAAATTCTGATAGAAAAATGCATCGTCCATCTGTATAGCTGTCCATCCTGAGGAACTTCTGCTGACAAATTCTTGCTATCTTCCATCGGTCATGGGGTTCCCATCAATAAATAGAAGGTCAGTGCAACAATGAGGAGCAAGCAGAATGGAGAAGAGAAGGTCTGATAGGCAGCTGATGGCATGAAAATATCTTCATACTTGTAGATACTGACAACACGCTCTGATACGGGTGGTGAGTCTATATCATGGCGAGTTATAGAACCTTTAACAGGTAAGGGCAGAAAGAAATAATGTCAGATGCATTTTTTCTGTAACTCTACCAAAGAAATGGGTAGACAGCCAAGTAATTTTCAAACCTACAGGAGCATGCCATATTACATTGTCAGTGAGTAGAGTCATTTCTCTGCTTTCTGAAATTAAAAGTCTGAATAAAACAAATTCAATTCAAGTAAACAATAAACATCCTTCAAAGGAATTCAGAATTTCTAGTGATGAAGTTCTAAATTTAGCTTTGGGGGGTGGGGGTAATAACTATATAGCCATGAAAACAAGACATGTAGGAATCTGTTATTTATCTTGTCTTCTTTTTTATCTGTTTTTAAGCCCCATGCTGCCAGAATTTTAGTTTATTAAAAAGAAAGGGGTCTAGTAAGAATAATGTAATTGAAAGACATTTATCAATTTTGGCACCTCAGTTCTGTCGGTAACACAGAAATCAACTTACCCTGAATTGCTGGGCCCCAAGCAAACAGATAGTACCAACTTAAATGCAGATCAACGATGGTTTCCTCTCGGGGAACATATACAGGACGCTTGAATCGACATGTTACACGATTGTTCTCAAAAACCCCTTCTTCATCTCTAGCAGGATTTCTCTGGATTTCTTTAGCCCACTGACCAACATTATAGAAATGCTGTATTCGGACTCTTCCATTATCATCATGAACACAAGCCATGACATCATCTCCTCCCTACATAGTAAAACCATATTGGTAGAAGGAAAACAAAAGTGTCACAAAGCATTTCCTCATTAGTTTTTAATAATTAAAATTATACACAAGACTTGGGACTCTCATTCCTTCTTCCTCAGTTATATATACACAAATATTTGTTTCCCTAACCACATGTCTTCAATCAGATTGAACATCACAATATTTATTTACTCTTTTGGATCTTTCTAAGAGTTATTTTACCTAACATATATAACATATTTGTAAGTCATGATATCACCCTGACATCACATAATTAATTAATCAGTGGAAGGCTGTTTTCTTTCGTAATTTGTGAAGTTCTAGGATCCTGTTTCATAAAAACTCAGAGGTGTGAATCCTTGATGTGTACAAACTCCACTGCATCAAATCATAGACAGAAATCCAATATAATTTAGTAAAATAGAGATGAATCTACTAAATATGGGAAAACAATACCATAAATTACAGTATCTTTTCTGTTCCCTTCTGATGTCCACTTAAGTGAACATCACTTCTTATATGTCTTAAGAGAAAATGAAAGATGTCAGCATGTAGTAACAGAATACAGAACACCATAGGATACAAGAAAAAAAGTAATACGTGTTTCTTCACACAGAATAAACAGCTACCAAGCACTACAATAAAGCAAAGAAACGGCAGACAGAAGGAAGTGTGAGACAATTGTTTGCAGAGGTCATTCATAGAAATATTAAACCAGTTGCTAGAACAGCTACTCACAGTCCCTGCCAAAGTGGTAGAGCACTGTATCACTCAGGGATTAGCATTCATTTGAGGATACTATTTCATAGAAGCCTTAGTATCAAGAACCATTAAAACACTGTGCAACTTGGATGAATGGCATTTTACTGAACACCACTGCCACAGGTATCAGCGCCATATTAAATACAGGCCCTACTTCTCCAACATTAATCTTTCTGATAGGTGATGCTGATGATAGACAGGATGCTTGCTAGCCTGATAATCTCTCAGTTCCTTGTTACAGGGAAAGAAGAGGAAAAGGGTTCATTTCAGCTCTCTGGAAACATTGCTATGTGGATTTGTGAAAGATGTGCCAAAAGTGAGGGAACAAGGGGACAAGTGGGTAAAACACATGCTTGAACAGTTTCTGCACCTCAGTGCTGCTGCAGGCAACCTTTCCAGCTTCTGTCTTGAGCCTATCCTTGCTCTCCATAACTTGTTTTCCAAGTTTAGTTTTTATACATTCCAAGTTTAGTTTTTATATATCTGGACACAAATCCCTCATTCTTAAGTACAAAGAAGCAAAAATAAAGCTGTTTTCACATAGAAAAAAATTAAAAGGAAAGAAAAAAGCATTCTGAATTTCAATTAACAGAATGACATTACAAAATCCTGCCTAGGCACAAAAGCCTGCAAGGGAGAAGCATAATGTTATTTGAGACAAAGAAATAGGTCATGGAAATTTTTTTAAAAATAAAAAATCTATTGAGGACAAAAAGTAGGATTTTTTCCCAACTTCTGTAGCTATCTGGGCCACACCATTTGGATTAGGGCCTCCAAAGCACAGCCCACTTCTCATAGCTACGTTGTTCTGACCCAGAGACATTTTACCATTAGAACCTGTGCATCCCAGGACACCAAAACCTCCTGGAAGTTATGAAAAAGGATGAAGTCAGCAGAGGAACAAGAGAGGAAGACAGATGCTAGCTGGTTTAGTCCAGCTGACTGATGGGCATTAGATCACATACGCAGCAAATTTGGAAGCAAAACATTTTACTTTACACTTCTATTTTTCTTACCAGTAGCTGAGATTTAACATGCTGCTTGATGTGCTTGGGATGGAAGGTAACGCCTGCTTTCCAAGGGGCTGATGAGATGCAGGCAGTGGGACCCTGAGATCTACTGCAGCTGTAGCAGAGTCACAAACCCGTAACACAGTCTCTGATAGCTTGGGGCCAAACATTTCAAGGTGCTGAGCTGCTTTGAAAACTCTGTTGAGTACTTGCATTTCCAGGCATCTAAACTCTACCCAAAATTTGGCTGTAAAACTGTTCCTCACAACATTAAAAACATGAACTCTTTCTTGTGACGTGAACTGTTCTCTGTGACATAAAAGACTTCTATTTTTATTGTGCTTATTTACAGTGTCATATTAAGACATATGTAGTAATGACTGAAAAGCACCTGCCCTCACATTTTCTTTCTCTTTCTCATTCTGAGTCTGATATAAATGTTGTTGTCAGTGCAAGTCTTCCCATTCTTTTTTGTGAGTCCTAGCTCAGAATGTCTAAATTCTGTATTTTTTCAGACTACTGCTTACAGCAGTATAAAAGACAGCCCTGTCCTCTGACTGGTGATTTAGAACATAGGGTCAGTATTGTTTTACATACTCAGGAGTGTTTCTGTATACAACACCTACATTATGAACTGCATTTTAATCCTAAACATTTTACCAAGGATCACAGACAAAACATCTTTGCCTAAGTCATCTATTGCTCAGGTTATTTAAAGTTCGCACAGCAGAGTTCGCTCCTGTTTTGCTCACTGAAACACAATGAAGAGTGAAGCTTTTGAATGGAAAAGTACAGAAATAAGCATTAAAAAAACCCAAATAAAATCCAGGAGAAAATGAAGACGAAATTTTAACAAGACTGCTTTCTAGAGTCTGTATGTTTAAATTAGCAGGAGTCATTTTGTCACACATTCGTGGCTTCCTTGGAACAACACACAGGTATGAAAGAAACAGATTTCTGAAGTTTAACGGTGAAAGTCACATTTATATCACTGAAAGTCAGCTAATTTACTGAAGAATAAAATTATTTTCTATTTAGTTTCTGATGTGCCTTTTGTCCAAGTAACACTGACATAAAGCATGACAGGACATTTCCACGTGAATTGGCTTATTCCTGAGGGCTTTTCTAATAAAAAGGCAAAAAGCTAATAACATTCAGACATTCAGAGCTGAACTGAAATACTGCTTTAATTCCCAGAGAAGAAGGACATGTTAGGAAGGATGAGGCAGTTTTCTGGGAGGCAGTAGGCCTGGCTTCGGCTCCCAGGGTGGCTACCGAACAGTGCTTAAGTTTTCATCAAGTCAGTTTTTCCTTTTAGGCTCTGCTTCTGTTTTCACATCAAATGTAAACCATTTGTATCCTAGCATACAAAAGCGTGCACGCAACATGAAGAACTGTACATATCTTACCATTTTCTTGTCTGAGGAGAATCCCACCGCCACCCAGCCATCGGTATCAGCACTCAACTCGAATTCAACATCAGCTCCTATTCTACGGTAACTTAGAAAGTAGTCACAGGTCTCTGCATTGCATCCAGGTTTACCGTACCTGCACGGAATTGGAAATACACGTAACTTCCTTGTGGTTTCCTGCAATGGAATTTAATTATCTTTCTGCAAGAAAAAAAATCTAAAAGAATGCATTTTGGCATAATGGCAGTAAAACATATTATATTATGCTATACACAAGGTACCCTCAAGTGTTTGCAATTACTACTCTTTAGTGTAAGAATGTATAGTATTTAAACAGTACAGCAAGCAATTAATTACACGCAGTATCATTCTGTTGACCTTCCTAGTCCTGGTTTTGTAAGTCCTTCATGAAAATGCAAGAAACATGAAATAACTGTAGGTCCATAACTGTGATGTATATCCCTAAATAATCTAGTTTTCTCAGATAATATACTCCATAACTACACATTCGTATATTCTTAAATAAGCATTTATTCAAACGAATATGGAACATTTACCAAAGTCTCCAATGCATTCAGTCAACATTTGCAAACATAAAGGTATCTGCACTTTTATCTCAGACTGACCTAAAGCATCCCTTGGTTTTTCCACAGTCATCCACTCTGATTTTTGCAAATGGATCCACAGGAGGAGCAGTAGGGAAAGGGTAACCTGTATAATCAGAATACAACATTGCCAAATAAAATACAAGGAATAAAAAGCAATAATACTAAAGAGAAAGGGTTCCAATAGCATTTACTTTGTCCACTGGTAACTGAGCTGTTCAGTTACCAGTGGACATTTGTCCATACACAATCCCTTGCTCAGATGGTCCTGGATCCAGGTACCAGAGTAACACTGATAACTGAAAACAAAAATGTTCTCAGGTTTTCTACATCTGTCAAGAAGGGAGAAGGATGCCGGGGCATGGCTTTGCTACACTGAGGGCAAAAGTTAACTTAAGGCAGAAGGTACACAGACTAGTGCAGATAACTAACAATTAGGGATCTCCACTCAGCCATCTCTTTGTGCAGTCTTAGTCCCCTCAGGAAATCCATTAAGGGAACTAAATCTGATTCCTTAGCCATAAATGCCAGTATCAAGTATAAATGCAGGACACCAGATTCAGAGCTGTCGGAACGGATACTGAAAGGATCTGTATAGTAAATACATCCTCCATTAAGTAGTAAAATAAAACACGCATTGCAATAAAAGGTATCAAAACAGGGATTTGCCTGCAGTAATGACCTGCAGTCACTTGTGAAGGAAGACCCTGAAGAGCTGGACAAGAAGAGGTATGATTCCAAGCAATCCCCTGTCCATCCCATACAATCCCAATTGTATGACAGTACACCAAAGAGAAAGTGCGAACATCTGCACAGAGACCTTTTCTGTCTTGGCTTGTAGAAGTTATGTCTGTTGCATGAACATGGATATTTTAATAGGATGTTCTTCTGCTTAGCCAACTCACAACCAAAGTGGTAGTTGTGAAACTATAAAGTCCTCTGGAAGCAATTCATTGAGGAGCAAATAAACACTGCAGTTAGTTAGAGCACCTGAAGACAAATGTTTAACTTACAGAACTTTAGGCATTTGGGAGCCCTAATTCACTTTCCCAGATTTCTGACAATACCAATGGAGAGAGAAAGTATGCTGAAAACTGTGAATTACAGCGTCTGTTAACTGTTCTAGGGGCCTGGGTAAATTACCCAGCACAAACATGTTAAATCGGCAAAATTTCACAGCAGCCTGTAGCTGAGCATCACTAAAAACATGGTCCCAGGACACGCTATCCTCTCACATCTGTCTTTTCTTCAAATGCATCAGACAACCGAGTTTCAATGAAGCCTAGTCACAAATCTGGAGTTTTTAACATTCTGCCATTTGTAAATGCAAAAAACCCACCCCAAAATCCAGGACTACTATGTGTCTTACCACGTAGATCATCACACAGCATTTCGAAAGCCACAAAACCCAGGACTCTTTTTCAAATTAGCATCCCGGAAAGCTTTTCACGGGGGGGGTTTGCACCGCGGCCGACGACCCACAGCCGGCCGGTCGCCCTCGGCGGGACAGGGCCGGAGCCCGGACCTCCGCTCCCCTCCCGGCCTCCCGC